CCAGTGCTCCTGCTGGGGAATGGGTTCAGCACAACGGGACTTGCCTCACTACGGGTCAGGACACAGGCACTTGCCCCGCTCCAGTGTTCCAGCTGTGTAGTAGAAGCTGAGGGCTTGCAGGCTCCCAATCCCACTCCCAGGTGAGAGAAGAAGAGTAGGTCCCCAGCCTGGCTCTGCAGCTGGAGCACCAGATGGACAGAATATAGCAAGCCCTGTGCCCTGACCCCAGACCTCAGCAGGGCAAGCACTTGGGCAGGAGCAGAACTGGGCCAAAGATGGTCCTCAATTTTAGGTGGGTTGGCCATGGCCCACTCAAGCCCACACTTGGCTATGCCACTGATACAATCAACAGATAAGGCGAGAAGATGGGATGGAAGGTGGGCCAGAGAATACACCTCTGAGCTCACACCTCCAAAATCAACAGTTAGGCTACGTCTACACTGCAGGCTTTTTGTGCAAGAACAGTCATTCTTGTGCAAAAACTTGTGAAGCGTCTACACTGCACGCGCGTTCTTGCGCAAGTAACTTTACAAAAAAGCGTTGGAAAAGAGGGCTTCTTGCGCAAGAAGGCAGTATGGCTAAAACCGCCCTCACAGCTTTCTTGAGCAAGAAAGCGTCCACACTGCCATGAATGCTCTTGTGCAAAAGCACATCTCTTGCACAAAAGCATATGTGCAAGGTCTTGTGCAAGACCTTTTATGCAAGAACTCTTGTGCAAAACAGTTCTTGCGCAAAAAGCCTGAAGTGTAGACGTAGCCTTACTGTAGAGGTAAATAACAGTTTTTTATTCTTCGCATGGTTGGAGACATGTATTCAACTCAGGTGACTCACAAGCAGTAATAGAAGGAGGTGGGCTCAGAGTCTTTAAAAAGCAAGCATAGAACTGCCTTTCCAAAGCTTGCCTTTGAGCTAAACACAGTTGTAATGGTTTAGTGTTTGGTAAAAACATGATCTGATAACCAAGTTGTAGCCTTGCAATATTCAGTACAGAAACATCAGGTGGACAATCATGTTTTCCCATACTGCACTGCCACATTTCAGTAGGGTGTTAGGAAATCTGTGGCGTGGAGGGGTTGGACTCAGGCCTGCATAGTGCAGTGTAGATCCTGGAGCCCCAGGTTGAGACCCAAGATTCAACAATTCCTGAGGTTACAAATGAGTGTAGATGCTCAAGTCCTAGGTTAAAAAACCAGTGTCTGCTAACTAAAGTTCTACTAACCATGGACTTAAATTGCTGTGTGGAAATATCCAATTAGACCAAGCACCAGAACCAAAATTCAAGGTGGTTAGAATGACAGTTAATTACACTATAAGCCTATGCTCTTTAAGCAGTAAGTGGTCCTTCTAAATGTGTTTATTGAACTTTCTAAAAAGATAGCACCTGCTTTGCTACTTTGGGGAGCTGATGTCAATTTCCATAGAGCATTTATCAAAGGTAATAGTTGAAAAATAGACAAAGGGTGTCACCACTGGAAGCTTTTGGTCACAGATTAATTTACAATTGCCAGCTTTTTATTGGCTTTCTTTTTAGAACTGAAGAAATCTTCAGGCAGACTCTCACAGCTGCTAAAATATTTGATTTCTACCATATCAGGAATCAAATCCAGTTAGACCATATCTGACCAATTCTGGACTTTGAGAGGACAGATAATTGTCATTATTAGCAGGAGAAATGTAAATATTGTCTCATTTATTATAAAGGCATGCTATATCTATAAGAACAGTAATGTTAAATGAACAAATTAAACAAGACACAAGCAGTGCTAACTTAACCACTTTTTGCTAAGATCTATAAAACCACAATTAGGAACTCTGAATTATGGCAGAGTGAGATGGTTCAAGTTAGGTATGAATTGTGTCTTGTCTCATTTAACCTCTTCTGAATATATAGGAACTGGTTGTTGTTGTTAGTTGTTTGATGTTTCAGAATATACATTTAGATGAGAATTCCAAGCAGCAATTGGCACCAAACTCCCCAAGATGGGTGTGGCTGAAAGCACACCCTTCGGCCTGGAATCTCCCTCCCATTGGCTACTTTAGATAGCTGTTCAACTGGCATGCTAGTTTTTCTGAATCTTTGTCTACACTTACTGGAATTGTCTACACTTACTGGCATTGTCTACACTTACTGGCATTGTCAATCTACTTCAGCTACATAAATAGCATAGCTGAAATCAACATACTTCCCACAGAATCTTGCATACAGTAAGATCAGTGGGACTGCTCTTCCACTGACACCGGCTACTCTTCTTGTCTTGGTGGAGTACTAGTGATGATGAGATCGCGCTCGGAGACCGATTTATCATGTTTAAGCAAACCCAATAAATCAACAGCTGGCGGATCAATTGCTACAGTGATGATCTACTGTGTAGTGTAGACAAGGCAGGTCTCCCTCTGTTACATTATGTGCAAAGCTTGAGTGACTAACTCAGGTTTTGTGACTCCCATTTTTAGGGGCCTAAGTTCCTTTGTCAATCTAGTTCTATAGTCTTCTGTTTCAAAATCACCAGTCAGATTCTAGCCACAGGTCAATAGTGGATGAAAGGCAATTCTAGCTAATTGCTATTTGGTAGCCTACATCAAATAAGTTGTCAGTCTTAGCAGAGTTCCTAGTATACAAGCATCCACATCACAAAAACTGTCTTCGCAATTTATGCTAATTGGCAACTTTCATGGTAATATTAGCAGAAAGTCCAAAAGTGTGAGTTTGCCTTTCTATCCTCTACTTATGCCTGTAAATGAACAGAGAATTTCAGTCTCTTGTACTCCCAAAGCAGTAACTTTCCAAAGCACTAAAGTACTTAAAGAGGAAAACTAAGAATTAATTTTTAATTTAATTTATGGAAAAAGTTGAAAAAATTGAATAAAAAGTATAAATGTTAAAAGAGCTTACACACAATATATTATATTCTAAATATCTGACAGGGACTTTATCCACTAGGCCACACCCAGGTCCACTGACCAGAGCGGGGCATAGGGACAACTGCCTTGGAGCCCGGCGATTCAAAAGGACTTGGGACTCCTGGCTGCCACCACGACTGTGACAGTAGTAATGGCTGCAGCCCTGAGCCCTTAAAATTGCTGGTGGAGCCCTGAGGTGCATTGAAGAGTCAGTGGGGGAGGCTAATGCGCTCAAGTGAATGGCATGTGAACACAAGGAAGTATACTTAAAATAAGGTATACTCAGATTTGTTACTGAGTAATAATGGTAATCTTTACATGCAATTTTAAAATTACCTCAGGGTATGTCTACACTACTCCGCTAGTTCGAACTAGCGGGGTAATGTAGGCATACCGCACTTGCAAATGAAGCCCGGGATTTGAATTTCCCGGGCTTCATTTGCATAAGCGGGGAGCCACCATTTTTAAAACCCCGCTGGTTCGAACCCCATGCAGCGCAGCTACACGGGGCTCGAACTAGGTAGTTCGGACTAGGCTTCCTATTTCGAACTACCGGTACACCA